TCCTGGAGCATAAGAGTAAATCAGGGGGAACAGATCCTCCTGACATTTGCTGTTGGCCGTTTTAGCTCAGGGTCCTACTCCCCCCTTTGATGCTTGGAGCTCTTTAACTGGCTATTAACATTTACATTTTAGTCATTTAGCAGACGCTCTTATCCAGAGCAATTAGGGTTAAGTGCCATGCTTAAGGGCACATCGACAGATTTTTCAACTAGTCGGCTCGGGGATTAGAATCAGCGACCTTTCGGTTACTGGCACAACGCTCTTACCCACTAAGCTACCTGTCGCCCTGTTGGGGCAGTGGTTGGGCATGTCCACATGCCAGTGGACATGCACATTACACCTCTGTGGCCAACTGCTGCTGCAAGATCGCAAGTAGTTTATCCTGAGTCGTAAGTTAGCTAGTTACCATATGTTTTGCCATGAGGAGGCACTGCAAGGGTATTGGTAGTGGAGAGGCTACTGTCAGGGGCAGTCTTACTACATCTAGTTTCAAGCTGTGGCCCTTGGCTACTGCACGTGACGCACTACCTACCCTGTGGTAGAACCACCAACACAACTCACGAAGTAGGGATACAAAACCTTTGTACAGTGGAGTGAAATGTATTTTGGAAATGATATTCGCTTTTGCAGCACAAGGCATATGAATAGGATTGTCTAGGGATTGCAGGAGGAGGATAAAAACCTATTTATGCTTGATCCGAAAATGGGGTCCGGAGGCTCTGTAAGGAGGGTGTGAGACAATTGTGGAGCCTCCGGAGGCTTGCGGAGACCAAATCAAGCTCTGTAAGGCGATGACGTGCGCCTCACAGGCTCTGCATGGTCAATCCGATGTCTGCAGTGGCTGTAAAGCATTTACTGCAATGCCTCTCTGCAGAAGTCAGCATTTCTCATACTTCTTGCACTTTGAGGAGCTGTCATACTGCATCCAATAAATTGGTCTGTACCGCACCACTTCAGGGCTAATCGCTATAGCCATCCAGCTAATTACAAGCAACTAGCTAAACGAAAAGACAAGACCTTACCTCTTCTAAGATGTTAGAGTCCGTTTCCCGGTGCTTGACATAGGAGCTCAGCCGAGATAAAATGAATGAAAAAGGCTGCACCATTTTCCCACCTCCATCCCGAATCTCCCCATTGCACCCCAGCAAAATTAGCCTACGTTTAGGCTATTGTTTATATGTTTATTTCACACTATGTTGAGGTAAAAATCGGAGTATAATGCTTGTATGGATGTCAACCCCAATACATGTTCATGTCATCGTCATCAATCAACTGCATTACAGTTAAAAATGACTTTGACTACCACCACCAATTTCTGTATGCTAGCTATGCTACTAGCTATACGAACAGGAGTTAGCATTTAGCAGTCACTTTTTCTAAACCTGAAAAGGGATAACTTCTAAATGTTATGCAGCGAAAACAGCCAAATATCAAAATCGGATTTTAGTAACCACATTGTGGACCTGTTACAATACACATCAATCATGACAGATTTGAGAAATATCCACTTTGTTGGATCAGATTTGTTGAATGTGTGCCAATCCAGAGTACTTCTATCCCCCACGGTGTGCATTCCATTGACCTCTTTACCGTATCTATCCCCATTACAACAGGAGGGTTATGAGGGGAGGACGGCTCATAATAATGGCTGAAATGGAGTGAATGGAATGGTATCAAACACATGGAAACCATTATCCCATTAACGTAACAAAATGTGGATAAAGTCAAAGGGTCTGAATACTTTCCGAATGAACTGTATGGAAATCAGTGGCAGTCGGTTCCGTTTAAGATTAGGGAGGACGATCATTTTTAAATGAGCATGGCTTTATTTCTATTACAGCTTATTGTAACATCGATGTACAACAATGTAACATTGATAGGTTTAGGCTACTACATGATACTCACATTTTCCCTATATCCATCATGAGGTTTCTACAACCCAGCCTATGAATGAAAGTTTACAACGTTTGTGCACAGGTCGAGAGAAATTTGAGTAATCGAGGTGACAGACAGTGACACATTCAATACCGCCTGAAGACACCCCTGATCATTACGCAAACACAGTTCACATTCATAGCAGCCACATACAAACAGCATGATCACTTTGCTCGTTGTATAATTCCTTCTCGCATTTACGAGATATCCTGCTCTCATGTTTGTGGACTTCAGTGCACAACACATCAGCTGTCTGTGACCAGGCGAAAAAAACGTTCTAAGCCAAATCTTCATATCATAACCGCTAACCACTACACACAGCCTACATCATTGTCAACATAGCTAATAGAACTAACGCATTAGTAAACCAGCTACAATCATGCAGTACAGTGTACAGTCAGCAAGCAGTTTAGCAGTTACACCAGAGGGCGCCGGTGGCAATAAATTAATAAAACCAAAAGCTTATACCTTGACTTGGAAGATTTCCAGTGTTGGATAGCCACAGCCATCTAGCTAACAAAGCATCCCGCTCTGTTTGAGCCGGGTGTTTGAGTAGACTAAACTAGATAGCTGCATTCGCTAGCTAAATAAGTGAAAGTAAAAAAAATATAAGGAAATATAGCTAGCTTTCTCTGTCTCTCTTGCTTCGCCATAATTTTTGAAGAAATGAATTTGTTCAAAACTGTTCAACTATTTTCTTTCTCTCTCTTTGAGTCAACTACTCACCACATTTTATGCACTGCAGTGCTAGCTAGCTCTACTTTATGCTTTCAGTACTAGATTAATTATCTGATCCTTTGATTGGGTGGACAACATGTCAGTTCATGCTGAAAGAGCTCTGATAGGTTGGAGGACGTCCTCCGGAAGTTGCCATAATTACTGTGTAAGTCTATGGAAGGGGGTGAGAACCATGAGCCTCCTAGGTTTTGTTTTGAAGTCAATGTACCCAGAGGAGGACGGAAACTAGCTGTCCTCCGGCTACACCATGGTGCTACCTACAGAGTGCTGTTGAGGCTACTGTAGACCTTCATTGCAAAACAGTGTGTTTTAATCAATTATTTGGTGACATTAATATATTTAGTATAGTTTCATCTAAAAAGGATAACTTTTTCAATGTTTTACTATTTTTATTTTATTCCTCCTCTGAGGAGCCTCCACTGCCATTGGGAATTATCTTTCTCTGACACCACCTAGTATATAGGTCCTGGATGGCCTGAAGCTTAGCCCAAGTGATGTACTGGGCCGTACGCACTACCCTCTGTAGTACGGTCAGATGCCGAGCAGTTAACATACCAGGCAGTGATGCAACCGGTCTGGATGCTCTCGATGGTGCAGCTGTATAACTTTTTGAGGATCTGGGGACCTATGCCAAATCTTTTCAGTCTCCTGAGGGGGAAAAGGTGTTGTCGTGCCCTCTTCACGACTGTCTTGGTGTGTTTGGACCATGATAGTTTGTTGGTGACGTGGACACCAAGGAATTTGAAACTCTCAACCCGCTCCACTACAGCCCCATCGATGTTAATGGGGGCCTGTTCGGCCCTCCTTTTCCTGTAGTCCACGATCAGCTCCTTTGTATTGCTCACATTGAGGGATAGTTGTTGTCCTGGCACCACACTTCCAGGTCTCTGACCTCCTCCCTATAGGCTGTCTCATCGTTGTCGGTGATCAGGCCTACCACTGTTGTGTATTCAGCAAACTTAATGATGGTGTTGAAGTCGTGCTTGGCCATGCAGTCGTGGGTGAACAGGGAGTACAGGAGGGGACTAAGCACGCACCCCTGAGGGGCCCCAGTGTTGAGGATCAGCGTGGCAGATGTGTTGTTGCCTACCCTTACCACCTGGGGGTGGCCCGTCAGGAAGTCCAGGATCCAGTTGCAGAGGGAGGTGTTTAGTACCAGGGTCCTAAGCTTAGTGATGAGCTTTGTGGGCACTATGGTGTTGAACGCTGAGCTGTAGTCAATGAACAGCATTCTCACATAGGTGTTCCTTTTGTCCAGGTGGGAAAGGGCAGTGTGGAGTGTGATTGAGATTGCATCATCTGTGGATCTGTTGGGGCGGTATACGAAATGGAGTGGGTCTAGGGTTTCTGGGATGATGGTGTTGATGTGAGCCATGACCAGCCTTTCAAAGCACTTCATGGCTACCGTCGTGAGTGCTACGCGGCGGTAATCATTTAGGCAGGTACTGAAGCAAAACTGTAGGAGCAGTCGAAACCGTACTTCTAGACCGGAACCCTGGCCCCTTGCTAGGCCTACATATTTTTGTTTTATGTTGGGGGCCAAACAAAAATAGTTTATAATCTTATTGATATGGGCCCCAAGATTTTTACATTTTAGTCATTTTAGCAGACGCTCTTATCCAGAGCGACTTACAGTTAGTGAGTGCATTCATTATTTTTTAAATATATATTTTTTCATACTGGCCCCCCGTGGGAATCGAACCCACAACCCTGGCGTTGCAAACGCCATGCTCTACCAACTGAGCTACATCCCTGCCAGCCATTCGCTGGGCCAATTGTGCGCCGTCGCATGGGTCTCCCGGTCGCGGCCGGCTACGAAAGAGCCTGGATTCGAACCAGGATCTCTAGTGGCACAGCTAGCACTGCGATGCAGTGCCTTAGACCAACCACTGCGCCACTCGGGAGACGCAAGATGTCAGAACTACTGTGAAGAAGAAAAAAACACTGGTTTTGTGTGTGTCTGTGATCTGTCTAAAACATATAAATTGTAAATAATACGTCATGCAAACAAGGCCTATAACGTACATTATTTTGGTAACCCATAATGCAGTTTCTCATCGATGCGCCAATGGGAGGAGAAAAGTGCTCGAGCCGGCTGGTCTGCGCCAATGGCTGAGTCCTTCGAAAGGAAGTAGGCTTGATCAATCCAATCATGCCAATTGTCTCGACCTGATCCTAGAGCGAGATTAATTTAGTTATTTGTTCGTAAACAGATCTGTATTTCTTGCCAAGAAACATTGCCAAGTTAGGATATAACTATTTTGCAAATATACGGTTAGCTAGATATTAAAGAGACCTCTTACCATCTCTGTATACTGGTTTACAAAGGGGGTAGGGTCTGAAATGTAAAGCTAAACTCGCCTTCCACCGGAAGCGCAGCTGAACTAGATATCATTAGTACGGGACGTCTGGATGGAACAGCAAACTGGAATTTTATCAAGGAATTTGTTTGGCACGTCTTGGGGCAAGTTTGGTAAAGCCACATATCCGCATTGGGCGCAGAGCTCTGACCGAGGTAGGTTATTATCACAACTGTCTAAACCTACCGGCTAAAATGCTTCAACAAAGCGCGAGGCGTGTAGCACAGGCCCTTAGACGTTTTGATCGCAGTTGCTAGCTACTTTATAGTTATAGTATAAAAAGTGTAGCCAGTCGTGCTATTGCAGAGTGTATTGGAAATCCAGGCAGTGAGTGTACGCCTGATCAGACTCGCTATTATGTTTGGTGTCTGTTTTGGTCATGCTAGTAGTAGATTCGATCTGTCAAACCACAGAAGATAGCTCGTGCGTGTAGCGAGCCAGTTTACTTGTTGTAGCAGTCGGGGATTATGCGTGGGGTTAGGTAACGATGACTAGATGAACTAAATGTATCACACTGCTCTGGGCAATAATACAGAAATGATTTGGTATTAGCCTCTAGGTTGCGTGCAAGAATTAGATTGAAATATGTTTATTTTAGACATTTTAAAATGTAGATTTGTGACCTTTGGGATTAAATGTAGTTCATTATCCAGCTATCATAATGTCTTACATTCAATCACTGGGCATCTCTTGGTTAATCAAACATGTTGTATTGGCAATACAATTATCTGAACTGGAATCTGACCCAAGTATCCCTCTTGTCCCCTCTCTCTGCGCCGCTGGCCCTTCAGCCCATGTAATGATGTTGTCTTCTGTTCCGGTTGATCCAAGAGTTGGTCAGCAGCTGCCCGGCACCACGTCGGTGGGTCCGGTGGGTCCATGCCCCTCTCTCTCCCAGCTGTACAATGAACGACTGGCCACTGGGTGCAGAGAGACTAGCAAGGACCAGAGGACTGCTGTGGAGGGTGGAGGACCTCTGGTGACTATGTCTCACAGACCAGCAGAGAGCAGAGCTAGAGATAGTACTCTTGGGATGGACTCTTGTGTGAAAGAGAGACAGACCCCGGCAGAGCACAGGCAGAGGGCTTTGGGCTCAGTCTCCAGTCTGAGAGGTCCTGTCTATGGGACTGTAGGCTCTTCTGACTTCAGAAGAACAGAGACACAAGTGTCAGACCAGGTGGGGAATGTGTGTGGTGTTCTTAGTGCAGGGATCATCAACTAGATTCAGCCACGGGACAATTTTTTATTTTCTTGAGTGGATGGTCGAGGGGGGCTGGACCATAATTACCAATCATTTTTAGACTGAAAATTAACCACAAGAAGCCCAAACAGATATAATGTTTGACAAAAACATAATCATTTCAAACCTTGCTTACATCTGTATACGATCACGTGTCTCTCTATTATGCGTGGGAATAATTGGCAACATATTTATTAAATTGAAGTCACTTGTAGCTGATTTCCTGGTGTTTTTACAGTCTCATGTCCAACAATGAAAATGCAAAAAATTATATAAGTACAGCACCAGTCAAAAGTTTGGACACACCTACTAATTCAAGGGTTTTTCTTCGTTTTTACTATTTTTTACATTGTAGAATAATAGTGAAGACATCAAAACTATGAAATAACACACATGGAATCATGTAGTAACCAAAAAAGTGTTAAACAAATCAAATAGCCACCCTTAGCCTTGATGACAGCTTTGCACACTCTTGGCATTCTCTCAACCAGCTTCACCTGGAATGCTTTTCCAACAGTCTTGAAAGGAGTTCCCACATATGCTAAGCACTTGTTGGCTGCTTTTCCTTCACTCTGCCTTCCGACTCATCCCAAACCATCTCAATTGGGTTGAGGTCGGGGCATTGTGGAGGCCAGGTCATCTGATGCAGCACTCCATCACTCTCCTTCTTGGTAAAATAGCCCTTACACAGCCTGGAGATGTTTGGTCATTGTCCTGTTGAAAAACAAATGATAGTCCCACTAAGCCCAAACCAGATGGGATGGTGTATTGTTGCAGAATGCTGTGGGAGCCATGCTGGTTAAGTATGCCTTGAATTCTAAATAAATCACAGACAGTGTCACCAGAAAAGCACCCCCACACCATAACACCTCCTCCTCCATGCTTTACAGTGGGAACTACACATGCGGAGAACCAAAAATCTCCAATTTGGACTCCAGACCAAAGAACACATTTTCACCAGTCTAATGCCCAAGCAGGTATCTTCTTCTTATAAGTGTCCTTTAGTAGTGGTTTCTTTGCAGCTATTCAACCACGAAGGCCTGATTCACACAGTCCCCTCTGAACAGTTGATGTTGAGATGTGTCTGTTACTTGAACTCTGTGAAGCATTTATTTGGGCTGCAATTTCTGAGGCTGGTAACTCTAATGAACTTATCCTCTGCAGCAGAGGTAACTCTGGGTCTTCCATTCCTGTGGCGGTCCTCATGAGAGCCAGTTTCATCATAGCGCTTGATGGTTTTTGCGACTGCACTTGAAGAAACGTTCAAAGTTCTTGACATTTTCCGTATTGACTGACCTGAATGTCTTAAAGGAATGATTGACTGTCATTTCTCTTTGCTTATTTGAGCTGTTCTTGCCATAATATGGACTTGGTCTTTTACCAAATAGGGCTATCTTCTATATATGCCCCCTACCTTGTCACAACACAACTGATTGGCTCAAACAGATTAAGAAGGAAATACATTCCACTGATGAACTTTTAAGAAGGCACACCTGTTAATTGAAATGCATTCCAGGTGACTACCTCATGAAGCTGATTGAGAGAATGGCAAGAGTGTGCAAAGCTGTCATCAAGGCAAAGGGTGGCTATTTGAAGAATCTCAAATATATTTAACACTTTCTTTGATTCCAAATGTGTTATTTCATAGTTTTGATGTCTTCACTATTATTCTACTATGTAAATAATTGTAAAAATAAAGAAAAAGCCTTGAATGAGTAGGTGAGTCCAACCTTTTGACTGGTGGTGTGTGTATATTTATACTCTACCATTCAAAAGTTTGGGGTCACTTAGAAATGTCCTTGTTTTTGAAAGAAAAGCAAAAAAAAAATGTCCATTTTAAAATAATATCAAATTTATCAGAAATACAGTGTAGACATTGTTAATGTTGAAAATGGCTATTGTAGCTGGAAACGGCTGATTTTTAATGGAATATCTACATCGGTGTACAGAGGCCCGTTATCAGCAACCATCAGTCCTGTGTTCCAATGGCACGTTGTGTTTGCTAATCCAAATGTATCATTTTAAAAGGCTAATTGATCATTAGAAAACCCTTTTGCAATTATGTTAGCACAGCTGAAAACTGTTGTGCTGATTTAAAGAAGCAATAAAACAGGCCTTTTTGAGACTAGTTGAGTATCTGGAGCATCAGCAATTGTGGGTTCGATTACAAGCTCAAAATGGCCAGAAACAAATAACTTTCTTCTGAAACTCGTCAGTCTATTCTTGTTCTGAGAAATGAAGGCTATTCTATGCGAGAAATTGCCAAGAAACTGAAGATCTCAGGGCAGCAGGTAGCTTCGTGGGTAAGAACGTTGTGCCAGTAACCGAAAGGTCGCTGGTTCTAATCCCCGAGCCGACTAGATGAAAAATCTGTCTGTGCCCTTAAGCAAGGCACTTAACCCTAATTGCTCCTGTAAGTCACTCTGGATAAGGGCGTCTGCTAAATCACTAAAATGTAAAAAATGTAAATCTCGTACAACGCTGTGTACTACTCCCTTCACAGAACAGTGCAAACTGGCTCTAACCAGAATAGAAAGAGGAGTGGGAGGCCCCGCTGCACAACTGAGCAAGAGGACAAATACATTAGTGTCTAGTTTGAGAAACAGGCGCCTCACAGGTCCTCAACTGGCAGCTTCATTAAATAGTAGAAGGTCAGCATCCCGGAGTCACCTCTTCACTGTTGACGTTGAGACTGGTGTTTTGCAGGTACTATTTGATGAAGCTGCCAGGTGAGGACCTGTGAGGCGTCTGTTTCTCAAACTAGACACTCTAATGTATTTGTCCTCTTGCTCCGTTGTGCACTGGGGCCTCCCACTCTGTTAATACTAAATTGTAATTATTTTGCACTATGGTCTATTTATTGCCTTACCTCCATAACTTACTACATTTGCACACACTGTATATATATTTTATATTGTGTTATTAACTGTATGTTTTGTTTTATCCCATGTGTAACTGTGTTGTTGTTTTTATCGCACTGCTTTGCTTTATCTGGGCCAGGTCGCAGTTGTAAATGAGAACTTGTTCTCAACTGGCTTACCTGGTAAATAAAGGTGAAATAAAAATAAATACAACTCCTCTTTCTATTCTGGTTAGAGCCAGTTTGCGCTGTTCTGTGAAGGGAGTAGTACACAGCGTTGTACGAGATCTTCAGTTTCTTGGCAATTTCTCGCATGGAATAGCCTTCATTTCTCAGAACAAGAATAGACTGATGAGTTTCTGGCCATTTTGAGCCTGTAATCGAACCCACAATTGCTGATGCTCCAGATACTCAACTAGTCTCAAGAAGGCCAGTTGTATTGCTTCTTTAATCAGCACAACAGTTTTCAGCTGTGCTAACATAATTGCAAAAGGGTTTTCTAATGATCAATTAGCCTTTTAAAATGATAAACTTGGATTAGCAAACACAACGTGCCATTGGAACACAGGACTGATTGTTGCTGATAATGGGCCTCTGTACGCCTATGTAGATTTCCATAAAAAATCTGCAGTTTCCAGCTACAATAGCCATTTACAACATTAACAATGTCTACACTGTATTTCTGATCAATTTGATGTTATTTAATGGAACAAAAAATTGCTTTACTTTCGAAAACAAGGACATTTCTAAGTGACCCCAAACTTTTGAACAGTAGTGTTTATTTATTTGCTCAAAACTTGGAGGGGCAAATAAAAAGACAGGCGGGCCAAATCCAGCCCGCTGGCCTCCAGTTGGTGAACCCTGTCTTAGAATATGCTAATGTTTCTGCATGTGTATCCCATGTCTGTGTATTGGATCGTGTGTAAACTTGTGTGTGGTCATTTTCAGGTCCAAGGCATTCAAAGACCCGGCAACAAAGGCAATGTCTGGGTTCATCCAAAACAACTAGGTAATGTACAATTGTGGATATCAGTTTGTTGTGCATAGAAACTAGGGGTTTGCCAACCTGGCCATACTCGTAATCGTATCCGTAAATTGACAGTTGATAGCCGAATCGGATCGGATGATACTCGTGATCAGAAAACACGGAATGTTTTAATATGCCTAAGTAAATGTTTACAAAATACCTATCTCCCTGCAAGTTTATAGACCAAAAAAGCTTCAGATTAGGAGCAGCGCACGAAGGGTGTGTGTGTGTGTCCTCAACTTCTTGCAACGGGCAGACAAGTTTGCAGTCACTCAATAAGAATGCGCATCAGCATTTAATATTTTTTTACCTACCCCTTCCCCGCTTGTTAGATAGGCTATATCTTGCTAGCAAACATCCTCTCCGTTTGATTTATCATAGTTGTAGGCTAACAGGAGGCAGCAGCAATCTAAATTATCAGACCGAAACATGCGAGAAGTGATCGGTTGAAATGATGAAACAAAGTGTCCCAAACCTAACAACCAACCTCCCCAGTCCCCACTCACCCTCTCTGTGACTGTGTTCTGTGCACAGAGCCTACCTCCCCTCCTCCGCCTCAGGTGTGCCCCCCTGAGCCTGCTCCCCCGGCTGGCCCCACAGGAGAGCAGCTGGGGACCCTGAAGCGCTGCCTGGAAGCCCACCAGACAGAGATGAAGCGGCTGCTGACGGGGGCCCTCGGCTCCCTGTGCCAGCGTCTGGAGGTGGTGGAGAGGAGGATGGAGCAGCTCTGTGAGCAGGGCACCACACATGACAACAGTCTGGCTCTGCTCAGCACCCAGGTGGGCCAGCTGGCAAGAGGGATGACCGCCGCTGCCACCAAACAGGACCTGTCACCTCTCCATGGTCTGGGTGAGTTGAAGTTGACGCACTAAGGATTAGAAGGCACTACGCTGAAATGTGTGTGTGTGTGCATGCCTCCCTGTTACATTTTATTAAGTAATTTTTAAAAGTGTGGATTATATAGTTTTGAATCTGTGAGTTTAGTCACACTGACACACTAGTGAGAGGGTGTAAAAGGTCAGGGATCATCAACTAGATTCAGCCGCCGGACAATTTTTCTATTGAGCGGATGGTCAGGGGTCTGGAACATAATTACAATTACATAATATTTTACTAAAACATAATCATTTCAAACCTTGCTTACGTTTGTATATGATATTTATTCTTGAGTGGATGGTCGGGGGAGCCGGAACATAATTACAAATAATTTTTAGACTGCAAATTAACCGCAAGAAGCCCAAGCAGATATAATGTTTGACTAAAACGTAATAATTTCAAACCTTGCTTACATTTGTATACGATCACGTGTCTCTATTATGTGTGGAAATACTTGGGAACAGATTTTTCAAATTAAAATCACTTTGAGGTAATTTCCTAGTGTTTTTACCTTTTTTTATGTGCAACAATGAAAAAAATTAATTAACTCAGCAAAAAAAGAAACGTCCTCTCACTGTCAACTGTGTTTATTTTCAGCAAACTTAACATGTTATGTTCATACAAATATTTACACAAGATTCAACAACTGAGTCATAAACTGAACAAGTTCCACAGACATGTGACTAACAGAAATTGAATAATGTGTCCCTGAACAAAGGGGGGGTCAAAAGTAACAGTCAGTATCTGGTGTGGCCACCAGCTGCATTAAGTACTGCAGTGCATCTCCTCATGGACTGCACCAGATTTGCCAGTTCTTGCTGTGAGATGTTACCCCACTCTTCCACCAAGGCACCTGCAAGTTCTGGGACATTTCTGGGGGGAATGGCCCTAGCCCTCACCCTCCGATCCAACAGGTCCCAGACATGCTCAATGGGATTGAGATCCGGGCTCTTCGCTGGCCATGGCAGAACACTGACATTCCTGTCTTGCAGGAAATCACGCACAGAACGAGCAGTATGGCTGGTGGCATTGTCATGCTGGAGGGTCATGTCAGGATGAGCCTGCAGGAAGGATACCACATGAGGGAGGAGAATGTCTTCCCTGTAACGCACAGCGTTGAGATTGCCTGCAATGACAACAAGCTCAGTCCGACGATGCTGTGACACACCGCCCCAGACCATGACGGACCCTCCACCTCCAAATCGATCCCGCTCCAGAGTACAGGCCTCGGTGTAACGCTCATTTCTTCGACGATAAACGCGAATCCGACCATCACCCCTGGTGAGACTGCGAGGACGATCAGCTGTCCGTCCTGTCTCCCTGTACGGACATTGCAATTTATTGCCCTGGCCACATCTGCAGTCCTCATGCCTCCTTGCAGCATGCCTAAGGCATGTTCACACAGATGAGCAGGGACCCTGGGCATCTTTCTTTTGGTGTTTTTCAGAGTCAGTAGAAAGGCCTCTTTAGTGTCCTAAGTGTTCATAACTGTGACCTTAATTGCCTACCATCTGTAAGCTGTTAGTGTCTTAATGACCATTCCACAGGTGCATGTTCATTAATTGTTTATGGTTCATTGAACAAGCATGGGAAACAGTGTTTAAACCCTTTACAATGAAGATCTGTGAAGTTATTTGGATTTTTACGAATTATCTTTGAAAAGGGACGTTTCATTTTTTGCTGAGTTTATATATGTATCTATATATTTTTTTACTCAGAAAACATGGGGGGCCAAATAATACCATTTGGCCCGCAGGCTGCCAGTTGGGGAACCCTGGGCTAGGTGGTTGCATGGCTGCAGTGTTTAACTACTTGATTGAAGATTATTTTGTTGGTAAGTAATGTTTCGGTTTCTTGTGTTGGTACAGGAAAGGAACCAAGAGCGCTGAAAGAAGAGAAGGTGGACTTCACCAAGTTGTTACCACACAGTCCAAACCCTTCGTGCAATATGGGCTCCTCAGGAACAGATTTAGACAAGGGGAGCGTCACTGGATGTCAATGGAGGATGACGACAACATATTCACCCAGCCACAGTCCGGCCCAGAGCGGTGACCACAAAGAGGGGTTAGGTGGGAAAAAGAGAAGAACAGAGTCTGGCCGGTCTTTATTCTCCATGGGAAAAACTCAGTCTGAGGGGGTCACGGAGGGGTGCATACAGGGGAACTACTCCCCTGTGTCAGACTTTGAGGATCTGGACATGGAGCTGGCGGCCGAGAAGGGGCGGGTCGCTCTCACCTGGTTGGTCAAATCTGCCCTGGTGGACACAGAATCTAGTGACAGCCAGGAAGTGCCCCTTCCATCCCCTTCTCAGAAGGCACAATCTGGGGACACTCAAGGGAACAGGAGAGAGAGTATGGAGACACATCCACACTCTCCTCATGTACACTTCCCCACTGAATCCCAAGGCCAGTCCAAAAGCACTGAGGTCCCCAAGTGTCCACTTACGGGTAAGGGTAGGACTATGGCTGCATTTCCTGAGGGGGTCCAGTTGAGCCCTATAGGAGCTTGCTCTCTGTCGCCACATTCCGTTAAAGTCGTAGGGTCATCTGGTTCTGAGCACACGGGCAGAATAGCTCCTGCTCCAACTAATGTCCAGCTTAGGATCACCAGCCCACCTCGCACTGACCACACGGCCTACGCTCAGTCCTCCAAAGAGACAGAGAAAGACCGGAAGCCTGAGAGGAAGAGGCGGAACAAGAGGGAAGCTAAGGCACACTTGGTCGGTGAGTTTAACTCCACCGCCACCATGTCCGTCAAGAGTAGCTTCTCCACCCAGATACAGGACCAACCGCAGGTTGGTGTTGGCAGGGAGGCAGCCGAGGAGAGGCAGCAGAGTCAACAACACAAGCGGTTTGTAGAGGGTATGAGGGTGTCATATGGTGGGCGAGAAAATCAGACTCTAAACTTTACCATACCTCCCCATCAGCAACACTCTCCATTGTCCCACGCCCAGCTGAAGTCTCCAGACAGAGCGTCATCAGGTTCAGTCTTTGCATCCTATTCCCGGTCCCCTCTGCCCTCCCCACCCATGTCTGGCTACATGGACCCTCAGAAGGGCAAACAAGCCACGGATCGATCCCTCCTGCCCTTCCACTCTACCAGCCCCTCTCTAGACTCCTCCATAGTCTCCAAGCTCTCCTCTCCCCGAAATGGCTCTAATACATCTCTCATGGTTGGTGTTAGATCCATCCACCACCAAGGCCAGGCCCTCCTGCTCCAGCTGTCGGACACAGCCAGCCAGCTCGTACCTTCCAGTCCTTCCCCGGAGCTCCCCTCACCCCCGGATGGTGGTCAAAGCAGACGGGGGAACCTCCCGCGCTTCTTCAACTCCAAGCTCAAGAACCACTGGAATAAGGACCGGCCCTCCTGTAAGAAGCGGCTGCTGAAAGGCGTTCGCAGCACTAGCGGCGCTCTAGCCATGTCTCTCCCGGAGCTGGAGGAGGAGACGTCGCAGCACCACTGGCAGCCCCTGGTGATTCTGGGCAGCCCAGTCTTGCCTCTCTCCCCCCTGCAGCTGGGGCCCCTAGCCCAGAACTTCTCCTCCTCCTGCTGTAGCAGCAAGGTCCTGGACCGAGACATGTCCACCCTGCAGCGCGGCCTCTTCGACGCCACAGGCCAGTTCCCCATGTCCCTCTTCAGTCAGATGGGCTTCTCCAAGCTCTCCAAGGGGGGTCTGAGCACCGTGCTGGCCGCATCCTCCTCCGCCTCCTTCCGCCGCTGGTTCAGACATAAGCGCCCCACGCCCCTCATGAAGCTGTCGGCCACAGCAGTGGAGACGGTGATGTTTCAGATTATAGAGTCACGGAAGAAGTACATGTATCCTCCCCTCAAGGACTACACAGGCCCTCCTGGCCTGGACAATGACCACAGGTCAGTATTGATAGTCATTTTCATGTGTTAATGACTTATGAAAATGGCTCTATGTTAATAGAGAAAATAAAGATATACTTATTATAGTAAACATTTGAAGAAATTCTGCTGATTTCTTGTTTGCTTGCTTGCTTGTTTGTAATTGCAGTTATGCTCAATCATGCAGTCAAGAGGCTACCTCTGTCAGAAATTCTAGCACAGCAAGGTGAGCAGACATCTAGACGTGGCAGTATTGAATGTCCATGAAATGCAAATGTAATAATTGATTGGCAAACGAATATGGGCTGACTACATTACATCTGTTACGGCTGTTGTCAGTGGCATCTCAAAGCATAAACAGCATATTGAAGTGATGCACAACCTATGCCTATTATTGAATATCATCACTAACTATGTGTCTCCATCCTGTTTTCCGCTCAGCAGTATGTCTCTCACCTTCCCACCCACACGGCGACGTAGGGTCAGATTCACCCCAGAGCGGGCCCTTTCCAGCCCCAAGACAAGTCATAGCCACAGCCCCAAGACCATGCGTCTGGATAACCAGCCCGAGCCTGTGCCCAGCTTAGCTATCGCCAGTGCCAACGTCAAATACCCCGGTCTGCATGGGCATGGCCGCAGCCCATCCAGAGAGGTGAGCCTGGCATGTACAGTGACTGTAAATATCATACACAATAGTCTTAGAATGGACTTTGTTTGATTGTACTATACAGACTAGATCAGGGATGGGCAACTTGGATGGGGGAACCCATCATGAGGGGCCGCATTTGCTCGTGGGTCTCTCTCACTCTGCATGGCATGCACATGCTGGCCAATCACAAGTGTCGTGGAAATTCTTACACAGGGACACTATGTCAATCTTAAATGAATCATTCTTTATTATCAGCGCGCTGGAGAGGTTCCAACAAACTTGATGCACCATAGTGAATGTCTGTCAGGAGCTCTAATGGGGCAGTCCCGTTTAGTTCCCTTATATACAGTGAGGGAAAAAAGTATTTGATCCCCTGCTGATTTTGCACGTTTGCCCACTGACAAAGACATGATCAGTCTATAATTTATTTTAATTGTAGGTTTATTTGAACAGTGAGAGACAGAATAACAACAAAAAAATCCAGGAAAACGCATGTCAAAAATGTTATAAATTGATTTGCATTTTAATGAGGGAAATAAGTATTTGACCCCTCTCAATCAAAGATTTCTGGCTCCCAGGTGTCTTTTATACAGGTAACGCGCTGAGATTAGGAGCACACTCTTAAAGGGAGTGCTCCTAATCTCAGCTTGTTACCTGTATAAAAGACACCTGTCCACAGAAACAATCAATCAATCAGATTCCAAACTCTCCACCATGTCCAAGACCAAAGAGCTCTCCAAATGGGCTACAAGACCATCGCCAAGCAGCTTGGTGAGAAGGTGACAACAGTTGGTGCGATTATTCGCAAATGGAAGAAACACAAAAGAACTGTCAATCTCCCTCGGCCTGGGGCTCCATGCAAGATCTCACCTCGTGGAGTTGCAATGATCATGAGAACGGTGAGGAGAACTACACGGGAGGGTCTTGTCAATGATCAGCTGGGACCATAGTCACCAAGAAAACAACTGGTAACACACTACGCCGTGAAGGACTGAAATCCTGCAGCGCCCGCAAGGTTCCCCTGCTCAAGAAAGCACATATACAGGGCCGCCTGAAGTTTGCCAATGAATATCTGAATGATTCAGAGGAGAACTGGGTGAAAGTGTTGTGGTCAGATGAGACCAAAATCGAGCTCTTTGGCATCAACTCAACTCGCCGTGTTTGGAGGAGGAGGAATGCTGCCTATGACCCCAAGAACACCATCCCCACCGTCAAACATGGAGGTGGAAACATTATGCTTTGGGGGTGTTTTTCTGCTAAGGGGACATGGATCTCTCTCCATGCTCACTCCATGTGGACTCATGTCACACTCCTGAGAGAAAAGGCATGTGAGAAAAGGCAGTTGATAGCTTTGACTGGATGCTGTGTACAGGTTGCTGGCTCGGACCGTACTGAACGCTGTTGTCGCCATTGCTTCAGCCGGTTAGGGGTGGGGTGGGGGTTGAGGTTCACACTGTTCTTGGTCAAATTATCCTTTCCATGCATCTAGACACCACCTGTGCTCACCTTCGGCATAACCGCGACAGAGGACAGACCAGAACAACAGTTTAGTTTAGGGCATTTCTGATTCAAGAAATCCAGACAAATTATTTACTGTATGACACATTTTTACTACTACCTGATTCAGGAATTCCAGACAAATGAATTACTGAATGACAAATTATTACTACTACAAATATTCTTAATAAAGATCCTTCACACAAGCATCTCCGCTTAGAGCGTGCATTTAGATGCTGGTGAGGAGAGAAAGGGCTTCACCAAAGACAGTACAGTGGCATTGTGAAGCATTGCAATACTGGACTATTTTGTATCAAGTCTGCCCAAATGTTCAGAATTGGTCAATTGATACATTTTCAAGTACATGTAGGCCCGTGTAGCTCAGTTGGTTGAGCATGGCGCTTGCAACACCAGGGTTGTGGGTTCGTTTCCCACGGTGGGCCAGTATGAAAATGTATGCACTCACTATCTGTAAGTCGGTCTGGATAAGAGCGTCTGCTAAATGACTAAAATGTAAAAAATGTACATGACTATAGAGAACATACAAAAATGATATGGTAATACAAAATGTAAGTTTACACACTCCCAGGAATGTCATACATGATGGATCATTAGCTTATACACTAACTTTCTCACATCTAGATGGCCGGGCGGGGTGGGTGTGGAGCCAGAGACTGCAGGGGTTCAAACTGTAGAACCCAGTTCCTACATTTGAATATAAAAATGGATTTTATCAAACAAAACTATGCTACATTTTATCTCTGGGACCCTTAGGATGACAAATCAGAGCAAGATTACTGAATGCAAGTACATTATTTACCTTCAGAGGTGAATGTATCAAACCAGTTGCCATGATAAGTATTTTGTTGTTGTGCACACTCCTCAAACAATAGCATGGTATTTTTTCACTGTAATAGCTACTGTAAATTGGACAGTGCAGTTAGATTAACAAGAATTTAAGCTTTCTGCACATATAAGACATGTATGTCCTGGAAAGTTTGCTGTTACTTACAACAGTCATGCTAATCACATTAGCGCACGTTAGCTCAACCGTCCCGTATACGGGACACCGATCCCGTAAAGGTTAATGCACCTTGGCATCAGTGGTGGCTCCTGAGGGAGTGCGGCTCATAAATGGCTGGAATGGAGTCAATGGAATGGTGTCAAACGTGGTTTACATGCATAGCTGCGGGAAGATGTTTGTGGGTTCTGATTTTTCATGGGTTGCTGCAGCACCCCTACTTCCCACGGCTATGTTTCCATGTGGTTGATACCATTCCATTCACTCCATTCCAGCCATTACAATGAGCCATCCTTCCCTCAGCAGCCTCCACTGCTTGGCATAGATTCTGAAAGTGTCTGAAACTCTATTGGAGGGATGTGACAATGTTAGGGATGTAACGATTCACTATTCATCAATACCCATTGGTCTTCGGTTCAAATGTTTAAGATATGAATGCTTCGATCCCCGAGAGCCCAAACCGATCCAAATGAAGCATGCATCGGTCAGAAAACCGATTCAAAAGTTACCAATCCCTGATTTTTTTTACTCAGTTTTATTCTGAAAATACCTCATCTGTTGTGAGTGAATTGATGCGTCCTTTCCTTCAGTTCAGTAGCCTATCGAACTTGAATGTGTGTAACTGCGTATGAATGTCAGATAACTGTATGCATAGTGCGGGAGAGACAGCTGCTCACGCCAACGAGAGGTAGGCTTATCCCTGTTCTAATAGGCTATTCGCAGCACCTTCAGCATTCAGATGTTTGTAAAATGGCTTTTCACAATGTCAAATCATAGGCTTAGTTGAGTGACAAGCAATGTAATTTGATTGTCACTCAACTAATTGTAATTCAACTAAATGTTACCAAATGCGCTGTAGAAAGTTTTGTTTTATCTGAGTTGTGTAGCCTACCGGAGTGGACGCAAGTGTATTTGGTCATTTCTACATGAACAGCGTAATTTCATAAACGACAGCAATACTTTTTTGGAGCTGTGCATGGTAGCATTCATTGGTTGGAGTGGGAGAAACTCTCCATAAAATTCCAAACTGTGTAAACCATTTACTTTTGAGACTGGGTAAAATCCAAAGCTGCAGTATATTAATTGGCTAAATGCTATTCTAATTTGTAAAGATTAGTATTGTCATAGTACCAACTCACAACATTTTTTTATCTGCAAAAATGACAAGTTAATCAGTGGGTGATTTCAGATAAAAAGTAGGGGGACAAAAAGCATAAATTGCCCCCACCCCTAATCTGAAAGTGGGGTGGTAGATGCTTCCCGATGGTTCAGCTCAGGTACCTACACACACCATTGACATTGAGACACACACACACACTGAGGGCCACTCCGCTTAGAGAAGTAATCTCAGACAGATCCAGCTCGGAGGCCCAGCTCCTGAGCTCCCATCAGCAGCAGATAAAAATTGAAAATGAATGTGTTTATGCAAAAAAAAATTGTGCATGGAATTGTATTGTATCGATCCGAATCACATCAATTCATTCCCCTAATAAAACCAAATCGCACTGAATTGTTCCAGACGAAAACGTATAGTTCCTGTATTGTATCGGAGCCCATGTATCTTAAATCACAATGTATTAGTCACATGCGCCGAATACAACATGTGTAGACCTTACCGTGAAATGCTTACTTACAAGCCCTTAACCAGCAATGCAGTTCAAGAAATAGAGTTAAGAAAATATTTGCTAAATGAACAAAAGTATAAAATAAAATAAAAAGTAATAAAATAAGATTACATAACAATAACGAGGCTATATACAGGGGGTACCGTAACCGAGTCAATGTGCAGAGGTACAGGTTAGTCGAGGTAATTTGTACATGTAGGTAGGGGTAAAGTGACTATGCATAAATAATACAAAGTGAGTAGCAGCAGTGTAAAAAGAAAGGGGGGGGGGGTCAATGTAAATAGTCCGGGTGGCCATTTGTTTAATTCTTCAGCAGTCTTATGGCTTGGGGATAGAAGCTGTTAAGGAGCCTTTTGGATATAGACTTGGCGCACCGGTCCCGCTTGCCGTGCGGTAGCAGAGAGAACAGTCTATGACTTGGGTGACTGGAGTCTTTGATAATTTTTTGGGCCTTCCTCTGACACCGCCTAGTATATACAGTGGGGGGGGGGAAAGTATTTAGTCAGCCACCAATTGTGCAAGTTCTCCCACTTAAAAAGATGAGAGAGGCCTGTAATTTTCATCATAGGTACACGTCAACTATGACAGACAAAATGAGAAAAGAAAATCCAGAAAATCACATTGTAGGATTTTTAATGAATTTATGGTGGAAAATAAGTATTTGGTCACCTACAAACAAGCAAGATCTCTGGCTCTCACAGACCTGTAACAACTTCTTTAAGAGGCTCCTCTGTCCTCCACTCGTTACCTGTATTAATGGCACCTGTTTGAACTTGTTATCAGTATAAAAGACACCTGTCCACAACCTCAAACAGTCACACTCCAAACTCCACTATGGCCAAGACCAAAGAGCTGTCAAAGGACACCAGAAACAAAATTGTAGACCTGCACCAGGCTGGGAAGACTGAATCTGCAATAGGTAAGCAGCTTGGTTTGAAGAAATCAACTGTGGGAGCAATTATTAGGAAATGGAAGACATACAAGACCACTGATAATCTCCCTCGATCTGGGGCTCCACGCAAGATCTCACCCCGTGGGGTCAAAATGATCACAAGAACGGTGAGCAAAAATCCCAGAACCACACGGGGGGACCTAGTGAATGACCTGCAGAGAGCTGGGACCAAAGTAACAAAGCCTACCATCAGTAACACACTACGCCGCCAGGGACTCAAATCCTGCAGTGCCAGACGTGTCCCCCTGCTTAAGCCAGTACATGTCCAGGCCCGTCTGAAGTTTGCTAGAGTGCGTTTTGATGATCCAGAAGAGGATTGGGAGAATGTCAGATGAAACCAAAATATAACTTTTTGGTAAAAACTCAACTCGTCGTGTTTGGAGGACAAAGAATGCTGAGTTGCATCCAAAGAACACCATACCTACTGTGAAGCATGGGGGTGGAAACATCATGCTTTGGGGCTGTTTTTCTGCAAAGGGACCAGGACGACTGATCCGTGTAAAGGAAAGAATGAATGGGGCCATGTATCGTGAGATTTTGAGTGAAAACCTCCTTCCATCAGCAAGGGCATTGAAGATGAAACGTGGCTGGGTCTTTCAGCATGACAATGATCCCAAACACACCGCCCGGGCAACGAAGGAGTGGCTTCGTAAGAAGCATTTCAAGGTCCTGGAGTGGCCTAGCCAGTCTCCAGATCTCAACCCCATAGAAAATCTTTGGAGGGAGTTGAAAGTCCGTGTTGCCCAGCGACAGCCCCAAAACATCATTGCTCTAGAGGAGATCTGCATGGAGGAATGGGCCAAAATACCAGCAACAGTGTGTGAAGACTTACAGAAAACGTTTGACCTGTGTCATTGCCAACAAAGGGTATATAACAAAGTATTGAGAAACTTTTGTTATTGACCAAATACTTATTTTCCACCATAATTTGCAAATAAATTCATAAAAAATCCTACAATGTGATTTTCTGGGATTTTTTTTCTCATTTTGTCTGTCATAGTTGACGTGTACCTATGATGAAAATTACAGGCCTCTCATCTTTTTAAGTGGGAGAACTTGCACAATTGGTGGCTGACTAAATACTTTTTTCCCCCACTGTAGGTCTTGGATGGCAGGAAGCTTGGCCCCAGTGATGTATTGGGCCGTACGCACTACCCTCTGTAGTACGGTCGGATGCCGAGCAGTTGCCATTCCAGGCGGTGATGGAACTGGTCATGATAATCTCGATGGTGCAGCTGTAGAACCTTTTGAGGATCTGGGGACCCATGCCAAATATTTTCAGTCTCCTGAGAGGGAAAAGGTGTTGTCTTGCCCTCTTCATGACTGTCTTGGTGTGTTTGGACCATGATAGTTTGTTGATGATGTGGACACCAAGGAACTTGAAACTCGACCCGCTCCACTACAGCCCCGTCAATGTTAATGGGGGCCTGTTCGGCCCTCCTTTTCTTGCAGTCCACGATCAGCTCCTTTGTCTTGCTCACATTGAGGGAGAGGTTGTTGTCCTGGCACCACACTGCCAGGTCTCTGACCTCCCTATAGGCTGTCTCATCGTTGTCGGTGATCAGGCCTACCAACCACTGTTGTGTCGTCAGCAAACTTAATGATGGTGTTGGAGTTGTGGGTGAACAGGGAGTACAGGAGTGGACTAAGCACGCACCCCTGAGGGGCCCCGGTGTTAAGAATCAGGGTGGCAGATGTTGCTGCCTACCCTTACCACCTTGGGGCGGCCCGTCAGGAAGTCCAGGATCCAGTTGCAGAGGGAGGTGTTTAGTTCCAGGGTCCTTAGCTTAGTGATGAGCTTTGTGGGCACTCTGGTGTTGAACGCTGAGCTGTAGTCAATGAACAGCATTCTCACATAGGTGTTCCTTTTGTCCAGGTGGGAAAGGGCAGTGTGGAGTGCGATTGAGATTGCATCATGTGTGGATCTGTTGGGGCGTTATGCGAATTGGAGTGGGTCTAGGGTTTCTGGGATGATGGTGTTGATGTGAGCCATGACCAGTCTTTCAAAGCACTTCATGGCTACCGACGTGAGTGCCACGGTGCGGTAGTCATTTAGGCAGGTTACCTTCGCAATCTTGGGCACAGGGACTATGGTGGTCTGCTTGAAACATGTAGGTATTACAGACTGTCAGGGAGAGATTGAAAATGTCAGTGAAGATACTTGCCAGTTGGTCTGCACATGCTCTGAGTACACGCCCTGGTAATCCGTCTGGCCCCGCGGCCTTGTGAATGTTGACCTGTTTAAAGATCTTGCTCACATCGGCTACAGAAAGCATGATCACAAAGTCGTCCGGAACAGCTGGTGCTCTCATGCATGCTTCAGTGTTGCTTGCCTCGAAGCGAGCATAAAAGGCATTTAGGAAGCATAAAAGGCATTTAGCTCATCTGGTAGGCTCGCATCACTGGGCAGCTCGCGGCTGGGTTTCCCTTTGTAGTCCGTAATAGTTTGCAAGCCCTGCCACATCCGATGAGCGTCAGAGCCAGTGTAGTAAGATTCAATCTTAGTCCTGTATTGACGCTTTGCCTGTTTGATGGTTCGTTTGAGGGCATAGCGGGATTTCTTATATGTGTCCGGATTATTGTCCCGCTCCTTGAAAGCGGCAGCTCTAGCCTTTAGCTCGGTGCGGATGTTGCCTGTAATCCATGGCTTCTGTTTGGGATATGTACGTACGGTCGCTGTGGGGACGACGTCGTCAATGCACTTATTGATGAAGCCGGTGACTGAGGTGGTATACTCCTCAATGCCATTGGATGAATCTCGGAATATATTCCAGTCTGTGCCATCAAAACAGATGCATATGAAAGAAGAGATGCACATCCCTACATACTATTCTTCCACAAGAATTTCCATCATTTGGTGTTTTGTTGATGGTGGTGGAAAACACTGTCTCAGGTGCCGCTCCAGAATCTCCCATAAGTGTTCAATTGGGTTGAGATCTGGTGACTGAGACAGCCATGGCATATGGTTTACGCCGTTTTCATTCTCATCAAACCATTCAGTGACTACTCCTGCCCTGTGGATGGGGGCATTGTCAACCTAAGGGGACATAGCCATGGTAGCCAAAATAATGGTCCGCCCAGAATTTTTGTTGTTGATTGCTTAATTAACTCAGGAACCACACTTGTGTGGAAGCACCTGCTTTCAATATACTTTGTATCCCTCATTTACTCAAGTGTTTCCTTTATTTTGGCAGTTACTTGTAGGTGTGGCTCTGATTTTGTGCAATCCTTACAATTTATAGGGCTCATGCACAACAAACATTCCACCAGATTTGAGCCATTGAGCTAATTCTTAGTTGCAGTCCCTGCAGTCTAGTCCTGGTCCTAAGGGGGCTGATGAATGTTGTGTGACAGTTGGAACACCATTTTGATGTTGACTAATGAGGATGCTCATTTGATCCACAGAGTGACTTTTGTATTTTATTCCCTGTGGGCGTCATTATTTTTCAAGGAAGCACCTCTTCCATTGTCTGAACACAAACTCTTGCAATCCAGCTAGTTGTAATATGTTCTTTGCCATATTATTCAAATACAATTATTTTCTGTTTCTGTGATCTTGCTCACTTTTTCTTTCTTTTGTTCTGCAGGGAGGTCTGTATGATGCGAGTGTGGGGACCCAGCCAGGCCAGCGCTACAAGAGGGTATCCCAGATCCGCATTCGGAAGACTGTTCCCAAACCAGACAACAACCTTACTCCCATGGGCCTGCCCAAACCAAAGAGGTAAGGAAAAACCTTTAAAAACTCAGTAACTAACAAAACAATGGGATTATTGAAATACCAAGGCTCATGTGATCACATAGAGTGCCAATAGTAAATGCTCAAGTCAAGATAAAAGATGCATGTGTGAATTGGGCCATTGTGTCTTACTAGTAGTTTAATCAACTATCCTCCTGTGTCTTGACTGTGTTTTACATGTTTTCTTTTGTGTACATCCCATCAGACTGAAGAAGAAGGAGTTCAGCTTGGAGGAGATTTACACCAACAAGAATTACAAATCACCCACTCCCAACAGGTCATCCATCATCATTTTTATTATTCAAACTGTACCTCAAGTTGGAGAACATGACAATGCACAGTATATTGAAACTGCTTGTTGTTAGTCAATAGGCTGTTAAAATAGGCATAGGGCAATTCCACGTTAACGGAATTACGCTGAGGCTCACATTTTTCACTTTAAAATGTATGCCAAACAAAAACCAATGATTTCAAAGTTTAACAAACCATACACCTCTATGCACAATGACTACTTTGAACAATTTACACAGTAAATAAAAAAACATTTACTGTAAAAACTGTGCAGATGCAACTCCCTGACAACTCCCTGAGTTGTATTGTTACCAAAATTTGTATCTGCACAGTTCTTCCTGTAAATGTGTTTTTGTAAAAATTTCTGTGGAAATTGTTAAAAGTAGTCCTTGTACATAGAGGTGTATGGTTTGTTAAACTTTGAAATCATTGGTTTTTGTTTGGCATACATTTTAATGTGAAAAATCTTAATCTCAGTGTAATTTTACCTTTGATATTCTTTATCACATGGTTTATCATTTTGTTTAGTATATTGTAGTGCTGAGCGGTTAACTGAAATTTCTGTTAGTTTTAGTTTTTTAAACAACTCATTGACCAATGTTGGTTCAATTATTTGAATTCCATTTAGTTATTTTGTTGTTGTTGTGAGCTCGTAGTTTAGCGCAGAAAACGAGGTAATTAACTACAATGACCATAATCCATTGTGCGTCTACTTGTCCGGTCTGTGTTTCTTTTATGCCTGTTATGTAAAAGAGACAGAAGAATGTGTAATCAAGAGGAGAGCAGTTGCTTAGCGAGGTATCTCTACCTGAAAATACATGATCTAAGTGATTGATAGTTGGTGTTCAGCAGTCATAAAAGTATGCCTTATTTACATTTACGTCATTTAGCAGACACTCTTATCCAGAGCGATTTACTTTGAAGAACTTATAAAATAGTGATTTTGTCAGACAGCATAGGTAGCAGCTCTATAGAGATAAGATGATGACTTGGAATGAAATAATAACGACATCAAATAAAACAAATGTAATATACATAACTGAAATATTTTAGTAAAGTAATGTCAATAAATGATGATTCATAAGTGATGAGCAGTAATGGGCAGTCACTACCATCATGGGACTTTTATTAATTGTTTTATTCTGTGTTACAGCATTCAATCCACATAATGCATAGTGCATTTCATGTTTTTAAAAATAACCGGAATCAAACCGACCTCAAAAAGCACTAATCTCTCAGCACTAGTATATGGTTTATCATATTGTTCTCCCATACTAGGAGCCTGGAGACCATCTTCGAGGAGCCCAAGGAGAAGAACGGATCGCTGGTCTGCATCGGCCACCAGAAGAGGAAGCGCGTGCTGGACTTCCCTGACTTCACACTGCCGCGCAAACGCAAAGCCCGGGCCAACATGGCGCCCCTGCGTGTAAAGGGCCCCAGGGGGCGTGGTCGGCGGGGGAGGCCTGACGATGCCGACCTGGATGTCATGCTCATCGAGAGGCTGAGCGAGCTGGAGGACTTCTTCACCAGCCAAAGCCTGGAGGACTGAGCAGTCCCACAATACCCCCTCTTTTACATCCAAATACATAGACTCTCATAAATGGTACCCTATTCATCATATAGTGCTCTACTTTTGACCCAAGCCCATCGGGTCAAAAGTAGCACATTATATAGGGAACAGGGTATCATTTGTGACATGCTACACACATGTATTGCACCCAGTTCATCATTCTCTGTTTTTGGACAGCTTGTTTTGTCAATTGATTAGGATTATGAAACTGGATTGTGTTTTAATAATTCGAGTGTGTAAAGAGATTTATATGATCGTGTTAGGTTTTGCTACTTCGGGGCCCTTGAAATGCCCAGACATTCAGTTGTTTTGTTTTAAAACTGGCAGCCTTTGAAGTGCTCGAAAAAAAATCTACTTAATGCGTGCCTTTATGGAAATGTAAACTCAATCCAGCAAAGAGATGATTTTTATGATCGATAATGAATAGTGGTTGAACAATTACTATTTTGTTCTTAGGAACTTTAATTGAAACTGTGATAACTGAGAATTTGGGGCACTCATACTTGGATGTGTACGTTCGTGCACACACTCATGGATCTTTCGCATGTGAACACTCGCGTGTATACTACACAAGCACATGGACGACAAGTTCGACAACCCATACCTGAGCACTTTCCTTACCTCATTCAGATTTCTCATCAACTCATTAAATTGTTGTTTTGAACGGGACCTTGTGAGGACACAACTGTTTCTGACGGAGCCAATGGTATCTGTGCAGCTTTACTCCCTTGACGACAGCCTCACTGCTAGCCTGGCCTTAGGAATGGATGTAACTGACCACCATTAGCACCTTGGATGGGTGCCTCATGTCCCTCTATACCTCCTCATGCATTGTTGGGAAAGATGCTACATGTAGGGGCATCAGTTCAGTACATCCCCCTGAAAACCCGACTGGGATCTAGATGATGAGCACTGAGTGATGAGGATTTTCCATCCTGAATCATTGTGAAACAATACGTATATTTTGCAGTATTTGTTAATCATGGACTTTTTCATCAACCTTTTTCTTTACAGTCTTCTTTTTCACCTGATGTGCATCATCCGGTCCATCTGATGTGCGAACATGATTCGATACAGATATGTGAAAATGTGCATTTCCTATAGATGGTACCTTAATCTCTACTTCAGTGTTGAGGACCTAGATCAGGGCAAACTACGAGCCCATTCAATCTGGCCCACGGGAGGTTTGAGTAATAAAAGTATAAAATGAAAATGATTATTTTGGGTTAGAAAAAATACTTCAGGCCACTCTTGATCGTCTAAATCAAGATACTGTGTAGAAATTATAATGGACCTGTATATTTCCAAATAACTGAAAAAGTTCTGGCCCGCAAATTGATTTTCACAAACAAATCGGTCCCAGAAAAATCTGTGCGGCCCTCCATTGAATTTCGAAATCCCAATGTGGCCCTTAAGCCAAAAAGTTAGCTTTTCCCTGACCTAGCTACACAGTCGTACTACGAGGACCTTTTGGGTCAAAAGGCCTCTACAGTGGCGGTTTAAGTCCCTTGGCTCACTGTAAAGGACTCAGTATCCATGGAAATGGTCATTCAGTAGAAATTGACCTCATCTTTGATCACAAACTGGAATCTTTATGGATTCACAGAATTGGTTCCTTCCTGTGGATTGGCTTTCATTTTTGGCGCATCATTTTCCTTTGGACATATGAAATATGTAACGTGTTTGTGGATTTTTTTGTAGGCAGCCCCTTTTTTGTTTAAACTGTCATAGACTTCAAACTCCTCTGCATAGTGACTCTTTTGACAGCATTGACCATGTCTGTCTCCCAGTATTCTAATGCTGGGTGGTCACAGGTTAGGGTTATTCAATTGTCTGGCTATGATATGTCCCCATCTTCTAATAGCTGCTGAACATTTCTAGGGACAGGATTATTCCTGACCATGTGACCACCTGAAAGATTCTGTGGGAAGGTCTCAATTGCATACTCCTCGTGTCCTCTCTCCTCGTCTCCTTCTCAAAACCCATTGGACGAGAAAGCCAGAGGGTTCTCCCCTCTGACCTTCTCCAATGGGTTTTGAGAAGGAGATGCGTAGATGACGCGAGGAGTATGCAATTGAGACCTTCCCACAGAATCTTTCAGGTGGTCACATAGTCAGGAAAAACTCCTGTCTCTAACCATTTTCCATTGGATGAGAGTGTTTGAGGATTACAAGTAACGTGCACTGAGTGGTCCCGTGCTTATAACAGTGAGAGTGTGGGCTGCGTACCTGTAGTTATTTTCCTAATTCCTATTGCTGCTAAACCCCCTACCTAGTATATTATATTGCAACAATTATATTATAGATGTTGTGTTAAAGTTCAGAGCTGAAGTTTAAAAACAATTTTTTTATATGATCCATAAAATCCACATCAGTCCATGCCACATGATGTTGAGCAAAATATGGAGCCACTAACTGGCCCGTCTTAAAACAGCATTTACTCATCTTCTCTGTGCGTGTGCAGCAATCTTTCATGTAAAAAAAAAAAAGTTAAATCAGGCCCGTAAATGGGTCCATCAAGAACTCTGATGCCTTAGATTGGAAGACTTGGTTGCCAGATCTGTTTCTACTTTAGTCTACACTTCTAGTATTGTCATACCAAACAGCCTGACCTTACTGCAATTTCATTGTTACATTGAATAATGACTGTGGGGATAAGGATTTTGTATAAAGCAGGAACTTATCTGGGAACCAGCAATTAAATAGTTGTAGTGTTCAATTCATTACCGTAATTCTCATCATGCATTATTTTTTAAATCATGACATTTATTATGGAACACTCATTTGAAGTGAATACTTTCAGTCTATCTGTGGTCAATGGTCATTACATATCAGACAGGTCTTGGTTCGGAATCAAGTGGAAACATTCAGCTCAGCATCAGCAGACATTAACATAATCCTTTCATGAATTGTTCAGCACAATTTCAAAAGTGTCATTACCTGACTGATTTAATGGGGTTTGCATTTAACACCCAAGTATTCCACTGTTGAAACTTCTCCATTACTTACACAGTGTTCTGCCATTATAAAAATGTTTTCTGGAGGGTTTTTTCTTTTCCTCATTCATTTTCTCTTGTCTTTTTTTTAAGTGTATGGTTACTTTCTAAGAGAGCCTTCATGCGGATTGCAATCTTTGTTTATATACTCCTCCACTGCCCTGGACCTATTTGCCAGTAGTTTTTCTGGTGTGGCAGAAGTCTGCACTTAATAACCCCCCAAAGAGCCAGACCCTGTGAAGTGTTCTAGTGCCCCTTCTCTTCCTCATTCTGACCTCTGCTCTTGAGGCCAGAGACTGAATGGTAGAAAAATGTGACAAAGTTATTGGTGAGTGATGTGAAATATATTTTTCTTCTTTAATTTGACTGTAACCAGATTCTTTAGTTTACACTGGTGTGTAGTGGAAAAAGTGACACACTTTGGGATCCCCCATGTCTCAAAATGTAACTTTTTATATTCGGTAAAAAAAAAAAATAATCCTATTCCTTATTTCATCCTGTGTTAAAAGTGATGGACACTTACCGTGGACATGCATCTCACAGACCAACACTAAAGGTTAGTATTGTCAATCATTGTCATTTTAATTGTAATATATATTATGAATAAAATAGTGTTGACATTTGTATTTGTGTAATTTGAGACTGAGACCATTTCACCATGTATGGTAAAAAGTCTATTGACAAGGTATGACAGCAATCCATGCTTTGGTTTTGTTTACCTGGCCACTGTTTCAATTTGTAACTCAGTTTAAGCATGTGTGGCACAAATCCAATGTCAATGGTACCTATACTGAACAAAAATATAAACAACAATTTCAACAATTGTACTGAGTTACAATTCATATAAGGAAATCAGTCAATTGAAATTAATTCATTAGGCCCTAATTTATGGATTTCACACGAATGGGCAGGGGCGTAGCCATGGATGGTCAAAATGAGTTTTAATATGCCACACCTGTCAGATGGATGGATTATCTTGGTAAAGGAAAAATGCTCACCAACAGGGATGTAAACCAATTTGTGCACAAAAGTTTAGAGAAATAATACAATTACATTTCTGGGATCTTTTATTTCAGCTCATGAAACATGGGACCAAAACTTTACATGTTGCATTTCTATTTTTGTTCAGTATATATTAGCATGTTCGCGCTTCATGTCCAAGCTGTCCAAAAGTATAAAAAAATGTATTGTGTAACTCAATGAAGTTACTCAGATGATTTGGACGCGTGATTTGGAGGTGTAAAAATGCTAATATAGGTACCATTGACTTGTATTGGATTTGTGACACAAAGTTAGCATTTTAAGCAATGGCTAGGTAAACTAAACCAAATCATGGTTTGCTGTCATACCTTGTCCATATACTTCTTACAGGGTAAGGAAACCAATGTCATTTTGGAGTGTATCCCTTTAATATCCAAAGATAATTTGTCCCACCGATGCTCATCTATAAAAACATATATTTTTTTACAATGATTTTTTGGGGAACTCAGTTCGGCTTTAAACTTACTCTTGAAAGTTGTAATAGTAGGTACAATTTCGAAATTGGGTAGTGCATCATCAGTTCCTCTCGTCATGTTAGTCATTGCATGCCTTAGAGAGCTATTTATAACTTGTCAGAAATGTCTAGATGAACTAGCCCATGTCAGCCAACATTTTGTTATTTAGTTGTTGTTTTTTGCCCCATCTACATCATAGGTACACGTCAACTATGACAGACAAATTGAGGAAAAAAAATCCAGAAAATCACATTGTAGGATTTTTTATGAATTTATTTGCAAATTATGGTGGAAAATAAGTATTTGGTCACCTACAAACAAGCAAGATTTCTGGCTCTCACAGACCTGTAACTTCTTCTTTAAGAGGCTCCTCTGTCCTCCACTCGTTACCTGTATTAATGGCACCTGTTTAAACTTGTTAT